TCCAGCCGTTGTGGCCATTTGGGGAGTGAACCAACAGAAGGAAGACCTTTCTCTCTGTCTCTCTCTCTCTGTAACTCTATCTCTCAAATAAATAAATAAAATCTTTTAAAAAAAGATATCTTAGAAGATGTATGAAGTAGATACCTAGATATATGTTTCTGGCAATAAGGGGAGATATTTAAGTATCTTTAATCTTTATTTCAGTGCTACTGGCTCCTATAAACATGAATGAAACTAAGTAGCGAGGCCATATTAAAAATGGAGATTTAAAAAAAATATATATTTACTCTATTGGAAAGGCAGAATGACAGAGACAGGGAGAAAGAACAAGAAAAAAATCTGTGTGAATGGCTAAAACAGCCAGGGCTGAAACAGACTGAAGCCAAGCACCTGGAATTCCATCCAAGTCTTCTATATGGGTGGCCAAATGCTTGTATCACCTTCTGCTGCTTCCCTAGGCTCATTAGCAGGGAGCTGAATTGGAAGCAGAGCAGCTGGAACTCAAACCAATATTCTGATAGGGCATACTGGTGTCTCCGGTGGCAGCCTAACCCCCTGTACCACATATTTATTTTGTTTTGTTTTTAACAAAATGGATGAATAGAGAGGAACTACATCTACCTCAGTGAGAAAGTTTTACAACAATGAAGGAAGAACCACATTTCCAGAAAATTGTCTGATGGAAAGCTTTAGTAAAAACAGTGACGCTAACTACAAACAGCAAGGAGATGCCAAAAACCAGCAAGAGAGACAACGCTCACCGCTGATGAAGCTGCTGCCTGTGACACCAGGTGTCAGTTCGGTGTCAGTCCTGCTGCTCTACTTCCAATCCGGTTCCCTGCTAATGAGCCAGGGAAAGCAGCGGAAAATGACCCACGTACTTGGGCACCTGGATCCACACAGGAAACCCAGATGGAGTTCCAAGCTCCTGACTGGCATTTGTGGCCATTTGTGGAGTGAACCACAATTTGGAAGATCTCTATCCTTCTCTCTAACTCTGCCATTCAAATGAATAAATCTTTTTTTTTTTAATTTTTTGACAGGCAGAGTAGACAGTGAGAGAGAGAGACAGAAAGAAAGGTCTTCCTTTTCTGTTGGTTCACCCCCCAAAATGGCCACCACGGCTGGCACGCTGGGTGGCGTACCGCGCTGATCCGAAGCCAGGAGCCAGGTGCTTCCTCCTGGTCTCTCATGCGGGTGCAGGGCCCAAGACCTGGGCCATCCTCCACTGCACTTCTGGGCCACAGCAGAGAGCTGGATTGGAAGAGGAGTAACCAGGACAGAATTCAGTGCCCCGACCGGGACTAGAACCCGGTGTGCCGGTGCCGCAGGCAGAGGATTAGCCTATTGAGCCGCAGCACCGGCCAAATGAATAAATCTTAATGAGAAGGACAAAGAGAGAATCCTAAAGACAAAAAGGCCAAATTAAAATATAAAGGAAAATCAATTAAACAGTAGACTTCTCAGCAGAAACCCCTACATGCCAGAAGAAAGTAGTATAACAGACAAGATCTTGAAAGGAAAAAAAAAAGGAACACCCTCCAAGCAAGAAATATTATATCCAGCAAAGCTATCCTTTAGAAGTCAAAGAAATTTTGCCAGACAAGCACAAACTGAGAGAATTCATGATCACCAAACCAGCTACCCATGAAATACCGAAGGTAGTCCTACATTATAAGTCAACATTATGAGCATGTATGACATTACCAAATTCACTAACATAACAGATAAAATAAATGAAATAACAGGAGTTATTTCTTACTTATTAATATTAACCTTGAATGTAAATGGACGGAATACCTAGTTAAAAGATACAGGTTGGCTGAATGGACCAAAAAAATTGATACAGATGATTAACAAAACAAAAATCTGTTTTTGTTTTTTTGAGCAGATAAACTCAATAGACAATTCTTTAGCCAGGCTAACCAAAAAATAAATAAATAAATAAAATTTGAAGTGAAAAAGGCAACAATATCACAGAAATATAAAAGATCATGAGAATCTACTATGAACAACTATATGCTAACAAATTGAAATGGAAATCCATAACCCCTCAAGATTAAATCAAGAAGATATAGAAAATCTAAGCAGACCCATAACAAAGGATAGAAGTAGTAATTCAATTTTTTCATTGAAGAAAAGTCCAGTGACTGGCAGCTTTACTACAAAATTCTATAAAACATTTAAAGAACTAACTTCAATACTTTTCAAAGCCTTCCAAAATACTGCAAAGGACTGAACTCTGCCAAATTCTTTACAAGGCCAGCATCTCTCTTATACTAAAATCAAACAAAGACACAACACAATAAGAAAACAATTGACCAATATCCTTAATGAATATAGATACAAAAATTCTCAACAAAATGTTGAGAATTTAACCAAAACTGAACAAAATCAAACTGAACACTACATGTAAAAGATCATACACAACCAGGTGAGATTTATCCCTGAGATATAAGGGTGGTTTAACATTTAAAAATCAAAGAATGTCATGAATCATACCAACCTAATGTAAAACAAAAAACATATGACAAATGATCACCTCAATAGATTTTGTGAAATATCTGGTAAGCTTCAACATCCTTCATGATAAAAACTCTCCACGTACAGAAGGAACATATCTCAAAATTATAAAGGCTATATATGACAAACTGTCAGCCAACATCATGATGAATGGAGAAAATCTGAAAGCATTTTTCCTAAGATCTGAAATCAGACAAGAAAGCCCACTTTCACTGTTATTCAATGCAGTAATGGAAGTATTAGCAAGAACAATTAGTGTGGAAAAGAAATAAAAGGCATCAAAATTGGAAAACAGGAAATCAATATATCCAGGTTTGCAGATGATATGACATTGTAAATGGTAAAAACTAAACACTCCATCAAACACCTGTTAGAACTTATAAAACAATTCAGTAAAGTCTGAGGAAACAAGAGCAGCATACAAAAAAAGAAGTATTTTTATGCACTAATAATGAACTTGCTGAAGGGGAAATCAAAGAAATGCCATTCACAATAGCTAACAAAAAAATCAAATATTTAGGAAAAAATTTAACCAAAGTGAAAGATATCTAAAAGGAGAATTATAAAACACCCATGAAAGAAATAATCAAGGACACATATCAAAACAATGAGAAGATATTTCTCATTCACGGATTGAAAGAATTAATAGCATATGCATTGAATTATGCATGCGTGTGTCTTAAATGGCTGAAAAAAGTCAATGTGAAAGAACCAAAAAAAGGAGGAGATATTGAGTATCCGAGATAAAAAAGAGAAGATACAACAGATGCCATCTGAGAGATTAGATAATATGCTAAGGGAGTTTGTATTAAAGATGACTAGGTCAAGGTTGGGGCTGGGAGAGCTATAAGGGAACCAGAGGCATGCTGCAATCTTGAGTGCTCCTCCTAGGTACTGGTCTGAGTTGTTAGTCATGCCATGCTTAGGTCCATAAATATGAAATATGGAAAATCCTGTTATACTTCAGTTGAATTTATTCTTTGGACCATTTATAGTAACACAAGACCTTACTGTTCTTTAGTGAAAAGCCTGACTAGAGGAAAAACCAAAACAAAACTTCAACTGCTCTTTGTACATGCATTCTAGTACAGAATGCTAAGAAAAAAATTACATACCAAAATGAAGAGGAAGAAGTAAAATCAGAAATATCTATCATCAGCCAGGCCAGCCATTTGTTATTTAGGCATTTATGCATGTTTTAAAGAGAAAAATGCCAGATTTAATATTAACTATATTTCGATATACTCTCATTATTTCAACTAATCACAAGATAACTGGTTAGAACACTCCAACTTTGCTGATGATAACTGATCAAATGTTTTACTCTGTTATTCTAGTACAAGTAAATTATCAAATATAATTAGGTAAATGGTAAATTTTATGTTGTATTTTTAATCACAATTTAAAAAAGAAAAAAATCTTTTGAAGAGATTTGAGCATTCTGGTAGTTTTTGAAATTCTCCTTACTGCTTATCTCTTAACTGTATTTCGTATGAGAATCTGGGTTTAGAATCAAAATGTACTATGCATGTTTATTATGTTACATAAATCTACTTGGCATTTAAAAATACATTTATTTAGAAAACTGCATAAAATTACAGAGCATTTGCTCTGATATTTTCAAATTGGTTAAAACTGTACTGATGTTATCTGAACATTAAGTCATATTTCATAAAATTTACCATTTATCTATGTGTATGTGCTGATGTACTTATATTTTTGTGAGATATTCTCCAGAACTTTTTCATCTTGCAAATCTGAAACTACATGCCCATAAAACAACTGTCCTTCTCTCCCTTCTCCTATTCCTGGTAACTACCATTCTACTTTGTTTCCACAAATTTGAATAACTTAAATATCTCATATAAATAGAATTTTATGGGATTTCTTTCATTTTAAAAGCTGAATAATAGTCCATTTTATGTATATAATACATTTTGTTTACCATTTATCCATCAATGAAGATCTGGGTTGCTTCTACTCTGTGGATACTGAAAATTATGCTGCTATAAAAAAGGGTTTTCAAATTAAAGATTCCTTATTTTTAAAATTATGTTTCAAAAATGAAACTTTCTAGTGGAAAGCTATTTACTGTTCATTATAAATAATGTTTACAATCTATTTGTGCATGCCTATATAACAGTAAAAAAATTTCTCATATCACTGACATGAAGTCATTACTTGAGAAAAGAACAAACATAATTTAGAATTAATGTTTTCCTGATACTTCCTGAAGTTTACATATTTAGTTACAGATTATTCTTAATTTGACAGAATATCTATAATACTAATTATTCATATAGATATTTGTGAGGCATTCTTTGCAGTTTAAAGAAGTTTCAAAGAGTGGATTAATCTTTGAGGTTTTTCCTATAGCTGAAACATAATACTTTCTGTAAGCTATTGGTGAACTCCTGAAGACCTCATTCATATTCTCTCTTTCTCTCTCTCTTGTTTTTCTTTCTTATTCTTTCAAGGCTAATGTAGACTGCATAACTCATATAAAACCATCTCTTTTGAAACTGAGGAAGCCCTAGTACACTGCCCGGAAAGCAGTTCCTGAAGATCTTATGGCAAATGCATGGGGATGGAGGCAAGGTACATTTTTGTTACACAGTATACACTATAGGAGTTCCAGAAACGGTAGTACTACTAATTTTCAAGGGGCATGGGATATAGGACAGTTCCCCCCAGGTGAAAAGAAAAAGCCCTGAAAAACAATGAAGTACTTTAGAAGTTGTGTGTTACTATGTAAAGTATTGTTCTTATGACACAAAAATCCATGGAGGAAAAGATAAATGAATGAAATCACAAGAGACTTATTACCTGTAAGCATTTCTTTGTGAAGTGTATGATTTCCTATAAATTAATGACTTGGATAGCTGAAATCAATACCACGATCCATTCTGTGCATTCTTAAGGGATACATGCCTGGTTCTGAAAGATGCAGCTAGGTTTTCTCAGCCACTCTGAATATTTATGAGGTGTTCAGAGCAGAGATGCTGTTTCGAACAGCCATTCCCATCTCCGAAGAACCAGGGTCTGCTCCACGCAGCAAGTTGAGGGTGGTTCTCTCTTCTTACGATTCCTAAAGCTAATTCAATCCCCAATATTGATGATTAGCTTGGAAACTGCACAGCAACTAATACAATTTTAACATGGAGGAGACAAACCTCTAACATCCTTTCCACTAGAAGTTTACTTTCTCTCACTTTGGATGGTTGAACTCTCTCACTTTCCCATTCCTCAGAGAAGGAAGCAGAGGCCAACCAAGGTTGAAATCCATGTTTGTCACTGCCCGAGGACCTCGGTCATACCGTCTCGTTTCCCTCCCTTATTCTGCTCAGGTTTTCCCTGTGCTCTCTCTGTACACCTCAGCAAGTCGCAGGGCCACAGAGAAAATGCCATAAAAATTCGATGATTTCTTTAAAGGCTCCTTGAGAATTGAAGGCTTGCTCTTTTGCTTTGATTTCTGTTTTATTTTAATTAATGGACTAATTTTGTTTTAATGTCTGCTCTTTACCAAACATCTTCCCTGAGTGAACTTAAATTTATAGCTGACTTGGAAATCCTAAGGTGAGAGTGAGTATTGCAGAAACCTTTATATGGAATCCTGCTTCAGGTTCCACCCACTCCCTCACCTAGCTCTCAAACTTTTCTCCACTCCTCCTCCTCCAGTCTCAACACAGCTTACAAGTGACAAACAATTCTGCCTCTTCGTTTTCAGCCTCTCTCTTGATATTGAAATCGGATTATACAACTGGGTTCTTAGTCCTCCTAACACCACTCCCTGACACAAATAATGAGAATTACTGCTGTAGGAATATGACTGGGACAAGAAAGTCTTCCCTCTATTGATGGGCCTGCCACAGAAGAATGAATTTAGCTGCCCCAATTTGGATCTTGCAAAGTCTGCTCTTTTCATATGCACTACTGTTTATCTTTGGCTGGATTGCAGCCTTAGCACCACGTAAGTGATGAGTTAAATTGGCTTCTGTGAGCTATTCTGGGAACAAACCTAACATTTGTAGCTTTTATTTTTTTTCTATTGAAAAGTACCTTCTAAGTTCCAAATAACCAACTTACAAATGAGTTTTTGGAACAAAATCATTTGTAAGATGAGGGACTGACTGCAATTAGAATGAAACAATGTAAATTGGATGGAAATTCTATTGAATTAACCAAAAAAGCAGAAAGATGAAAGGCTATTCCACAAAGCTAAGTAATTCCTATGAAAAGATACCATTAGCAGTAAATTAGACCCTTTTTGAAATCTACATTAACTCTTTCAGGACAGGAGGAGAGCATTACATTGATGCCTCAGTGGTTCGAAAGAATCCCCTAAGGTCTCAAATTAGTTTCAACCCTGGGAAAATCTGCTTCATTATTTTACATAAGGCAATAAGAGAGATAGTTACCTGTCAAATAATAAATCATGAATATAGCAGAATATCATTTATGGGGGAGATATCATTTCCATTATATTCTTACATGTTAGACTGTACACAGTCAGACCCATTTCCCAAAACACACATGGCTCATGGAATAGAAATTCTGTAACTTTAGATACCACACAATTCATTTATTAACTCTCTTTTCAGCCAAACTAACTGGCAAGAAAATAAATCCTTTAAAAAGGTGCAAGAAATTTCTTGTAATAATAAATGCTACTAAACACCATGGTCATTTTAATGTCTTGTGTATCAGCTCCCTCGAAAGAAAAAAATATATTGTTCTGTAAACATGAGTGGTCACAGCAGAAGATAACTGCAGGAGTTCCACCGTCGAGATGTAAAGGCAAACTCCTAGCAGTGGAGACTCAAAGCAGCTAGGAAGTTCACAGCAAAAGGGGCAGGGTCATTGTTTCTGTCCCCAGTGCAGTCAGTTAACTTTGCTGTATCCATGGAAATAAATGTCATTATTCTAACATGAAATGAGTAACTGTGATTCTGTAATTCCAGAGCTGGAAGGAACTTTTGAGGTCATTTGGCATCTTGAAGTTGTGATCCTTCAGAACCATAGAAATTATTATGCAACTCTCAGACCAGGAGGAACAACCAGCGTGTTTCTCACATTTCCTTCTTCAGAAAATTTCCTAATAGTAACCTTCATACGAAGTAAATAGACCTTTAATTTCCATTTTGCAAACCTCTGATCTCAATCACTTCATGTAAGAGTCCCAGCGAGGAATTGCATCTTTTGCAACGTAAGACAGTACCACAACTACAGCAAGGCAGACCCTGGACAGAGTAAAATAGTCTGGTACACACATGAGAGTTGATTGTTGAGCCCCTACAACAGGCCAGCAGTTCTCAAAATGTTGTACATTAACTCATTAAGACTTCACAACAAACCTGTGCAGAGCTACAGTTATTGCCCTGATTTTTACAGGTGAGGAAGCTGGGGTACTCTTTGGTGAAGTGAATAGCACCTGGCAAGGAGTTGAACCAAAATTTGATGGCTAAAAGTCTACATCTACAACAGAATCCAACAGATATCTAGGGGCTACCTAGGGAAACATTAGGAGGAATGCTTCTGATGCTGCGAGAATGCCTCTGTATAAAACTCACATCATTATGTGTTAGGTGACAGCTCAGGTAACCCCACCTCTGCTATACTCATTTAGTGTCGCTCCCCCTCTTCGTTGAGGAACGACACTAAACCCTGCCTAGGCTTCATATCCGAGTCACGGCACCATTATGTCGCTCCCCCTCTTCGTGGAGGAACGACACAGGACCCTGCGCTGTTCTTTTGTCTGCTCGGCCCTCCCCGGGTTTGCTGCTGGTTCTTCCCGGGTTGGCTACTGTCCCTTCCACCTCCGTGGAAGGGCGGTTCCCCCTGCCACATTCCCCACTTCCGCAGGGGAGCGGCACACCACCGGCCGGCTCTCTTGGGGGCTGCACAGGTGTTCCCTCAGATGTTCCCCTTAGATGTTCCTGGTGCATGCCGTCTCTCTCCTCCTTTATAGTCCTCCTCTGCCAATCCCAACTCGGCTGCCCACACGCCGAGTACGCTGCTCTCCTCCAATCAGGAGCAAGTCCTACAGTTTATTAGCTGAACTGGAGGCAGCTGTGTAGAAGCTGTTTTCTTCTCTCCCAGCGCCATATTGTGGGAGAGCAGATGCATAGAATAAGTCTTAATTCCAGTAACTCAGTCCAGTCCGGATTGCTCCCCACAATTTAGGCCTACGATAATACAGCAGATATTTTGCAACAAGCATGTTGATTTTCATTCAGAATTCACTTAAGGTTTCATAAGAGTTTAGAAAATAATTGTTCATCTAATTATTTTAACTGGGTGTGTTTTGGAGGATAAAAAACAAAACAAAACAAAACAAAACAAAACAATGTGTCTGAGAAGCACAAGTGAAGCTACTCCAATTTCTATAGTTTCATTATGCTCAGGAAGTTCCTGATCCAATTTCTGTCACAGCCTCCTGAAAATTAAAGGCCATAGATGATTCAAGAAAAACCCAATGTAGTATATCTAAGTGTAGTATATCCTTAGGATTGCTGGAGGAACAGCCAGGTCTGAAATGTTCTGCATAGCCTGAGAGAGTCACTGTGCTTGTTTTAGTTATCTTCTGCTGAGAAACAAATCATATCGAAACTTAACGGCTCATTAAGTATTTGAAAGGCAGTTAGAGGTGGGGAGAGGCAGAGGCAGAGAGAAAGAACTCTTCCGTTACGCCAGTTCATTCCCCAAATGGCTGCTAAGGCCAGGGCTGGGCCTGACTGAAGCCAGGAGCTTCATCTGGGTCTCCCACACGGGTGCAGGGGCCCAAGGACTTGGCCACCTTCTGCTGCTTTCCCAAGCACACTAGCTGGGAGCTGGACTGGAAGTGAAGCAGCAAGGACTTGAATCGGCACCTGTGTGGGATTCTGACATTGCAGGAGGAGGTTTAATCTGCTAGGCCACAACATGGGCCCGCAAAACTAAAATTTTATCACTTTCTGTGATTTTTGTGTGTTCAGTGAGTGGTTCTTTCAGTCTGGACTAGTTTGGTTGGGGTTTCAAGGTCCTGGAAGGCATCACTTATATGTTAGGGACTTTTGCCAGGACTTCTCTGTCATGTATCCCATCCTTTAGGAGGTTAGCACTGGCTTCTTCAGTCTGCAAAAAAAGGGTCTCAGCCACAAGTCTTTGTTTGATCTACATTTGATATTGTCCCATTGGCCAAGTCTAAGGCTAATGTAAAAGAAGCCTATTCAATGTGTGAAAATAGAGATATGATTTATGATGGTCACTTTTTAACATTCTACTACATTTAAAATTTCCTAAAATTAAATTCGGTCAATACAGAAGTAAAGATTTGAAAAATTTAAGAGTAGATGTGAAGTGTTTACAAAAATGCTAACTATGTGAAATAATGTATATGTTAAATGGCTAGATATAGTCATTATACAGAACATATACACTTCAAAACACTATGTTGTACATGGTAAATACATACTGTTTTATCTATAAATTCAAAAAAAATTTCATTAGAAGCAAATGGGTTCTTACCTGAATATATATAGCTTCCATGATTTTACCTACAATTTTTATTCAAAAACATCCAAAGTTCATTCTATGCCTATATATAGCTTGTTGCATGTGTGTGTGTATATATATATATATATATATATATTCATCACTTTAAATCTTAAATATGTCTATCTTACCATACTGTGGCTATTGTAATAAATTTCTATAAACTTAGTCATTTAAAACAACACAAATTCATTCTCTTACTAGATAAGTGTGGAGGTGAGAAGTCCAAAATTCGTTTCACTGGTCTGAGGTCAAGGCATTGGGCAGGCTGGTTCTTTGTGAAAGCCCCAAAGGGGATCTGTTTCCATGTGCTCTCAGCTTCTAGTGACTGCCCCAAGTCCCAGGCTTCTGATCCTTCGTTCCATCTTCAAAATTCCACCTCTGTTGCCACTATCCTATCACCTCTCCTCTTATTCTCCTGAGGACTGCTATCACCATGTGCGGGTCTACTCAGATTTTCTGGGATTATCTCCCATCTCAAGATTCTTAATCGTAACTGTGGAGTCCCGTTAGCCACAGAAGCAAGCATTCATTGGTTCTGGGGATTACAACATGCATGTACACATGTATATAGGGGTAGAGGATAGTGGTTGTATTATTTTGCCTGCAGCAATGATTATTAATTTTCTATTGCTTTGTAACAAATTATCCCAGATGTAGTAGTTTAAACAACACGAATTAGTTATCTCAGTATTCTGTATGTCAGAAATAGAACACATCTCTCACTGCGATAAAAGCAAAGTATTGGTTGGGACTTTAGGGAAGAATCTATTTCTTTGCCTTCTGTAATTTTTAGAGGCTGCCCATATTTCTTGACTTGCAGTCCCCTTCCTTCATCTCCAGAGCCAGCAAGGTTGCACTTCTTCAATAGGTACATCTTCTGATTACAGCAAAGTCGCTTTGCTTTAAAGGACTCATAATTAACCTAGGGCCTACCCTAATAATCTAGGACAACCTCCCTGTCTCAAATCTGTATAATCAAAACTGTATAATGCCTTAGGCCATATAAGGTAATATTCACCATTCCAGAGATTAGAGTATGGATATCTTGTAATGACCATTACTACTATAGTATGTTACTGGAAATAATTATCAAAATAAAATTTCTAAACATCAAATCATACTGACAGATTGGAGTAATTGGTTAAATTTTAAAAAGAATAGAAACTTTTGATTTTTATGATGGGATTTCTTAATACAAGTTAAGCTGTTTAAAGTGTCCATAAATTTAGAATTTTAAGGTGTACTTTTAATATTTTTGAATAGTTTTCTTCTTTTCAACATTTTGTTTAGAATTAGTTTCTAGGACAAGGAAAGTAGTATGTTTATATATGGCTTAGATTTCAACCATGATTTTAATTCTTTTAAATATAAAATAAAAATTTAAAAAAAGCTGAATTGAATCATGGATATTTTGAGGTGAATTAATCCTAGTTTATATTATGTACTTTTCTTTCTCTTTCTCAAAATCATTAGTGGTTGAACCTTTTTGCATTTTGAGATTTTCATTATTCTTACTTGCTACACATACAACTTGGAAAATGGCCATATGTAACCATGCATCTCAGTGCTTAAAGTTATTTGAACTTTTCTCAAATATAAGCTCAATTTTTTCTATTTCTTAAAGAATTGAAGCAGTCTCTCATGGAATTCACACTGTTTATGAACAACTGTAAAGTACTCAGCAACAGCCTCCACTAAAAATTGGCTTTGATAAAAATTCTTCCAAAAGGACTTAAAATCTTTATTCAAATCGTTGTGAATAAAATTTAAGTAAGATTTTGGAGACTGGATTAATAGCACATCTATGTATTTCTAAATATTCATGTTATACTGTTGAATTACCATTCTCTCTTCAAGACAGTAAAACTCTATAGTACATTGAATCTCTGTGAAAGTAGATGAAGAAATCTACAATGATAGACTAGTAATACTTAGGAAAACAATATCTTTTTTCTTGCCTTAAAAAAATGTTCCCAAATGACTGCTGTTTTTCTTGATTTTTCTTGCATTTACAGTGTCCATTTTAAATAACTGGGTTTGAATTGATTGTCCCTTGTGACTATTATATTGCATTCTTATAAAGAAAATGCAACTTTGCCAAAGAATTTCCTTGCAAATAACACACAAATCCTTTGACTATTAGAGAATTAAAAATGACATGAAAAATTTAATTTTTCAAAATTTATTTTAGGTTCTTTTTATTATTTTTATTGTGTGTCACTAAAATTTATCTTTTTCCTTCTTTCATTTCGTGAACTTGTATAGTGGAATACAATCAACAAATAGGTAAATTCATAATTTCTACAGTATCACAGTTTTTAGAAGATAACGAACAAGGTAATAATAATGCCTGTATTATATCATCCGAATTGTTGGCACAATTAAAAAATATAACTATGAAAATAAAAAGATCTCAAAAAATATTTGGTTGAGTGAACATGATACATGGTCTAAAATAAATCAAATTTTACATGTGCTATAATAATTTCACATATACAAAATATAAGGGTGAATACTGCTGTAAGTAATTCAAATACTGAACTTCTCACTTGAACATTAATTGAA